GATGGAGTCTTGCTCTGTCGCCCAGGCTGGAGTGCAGTGGTACAATCTCAGCTCACTGCAACCTCCACCTCCCTGGTTCAAGCAATTCCCCTGCTTCATTCTCCCAAGTAGCTGGATTACAGGTGCACGCCACCACGCCTGGCTAATTGTTTTGTATTTTTAGTAGAAACGGGGTTTCACCATGTTGGCCAGATTGGTCTTGAACTCCTGACCTTGTGATCTGCCTGCCTTGGCCTCCCAAAGTGCTGGGATTACAGGTGTAAGCCACCATACCCGGCCTGCTTCATGTTTGTTTTGTTTCATTATTTTTTATTTTTTTGAGACAGGGTTTCGCTCTTTTGCCCAGGCTGGAGTGCAATGGCACAGTATCAGTTCACTGCAACCTCTGCCTCCCAAGTTCAAGTGATTCTCCCGCCTCAGCCTGCCAAGTAGCTGGGATTATAGGCGCACGCCACCATGCCCAGCTAATTTTTGTATTTTTAGTAGAGATGGGGTTTTGCCATGTTAGCCAGGCTGGTCTCGAACTCCTGACATCAAGTGATCCGCCCACCTCGGCCTCCCAAAGTGCTGGGATTACAGGAGTAAGCCACCGTGCCCGGCCCTGGTCCATGTATTTTTAAGCTTTCTAATTAGATGCATTTAATTAGGAAAATGTTCTGCGCCCTATTTCACTGTGAAATGACCAGTATCTCTGGCAAAATTCTTGGCTCTGAAATCTACTTCAGTATTCTTTTTTCTTTTTTTTTCAGACCTGCCCCCTTGAAATTGACTTTAGTATTTATATGCCTATTCCAGCTGCCTTTTGACAGTGCTAGGGAGGTATGCATTTTCCATCCTTTCACTGTTTGTCTCTTTAAAATGAATTTCTTACGGGCACTCCAAGGTCTGGCTGTTTTTTTTTTTTTTTTGAGATGGAGTCTTGCTCTGTCACCCAGGCTGGAGTGCAGTGGTGTGATCTCCGCTCACTGCAAGCTCTGCCTCCTGGGTTCACACCATTCTCCTGCCTCAGCCTCCCAAGTAGCTGGGACTACAGGCACCCACCACCATGTCTGGCTAATTTTTTATATTTTTCAGTAAAGACGGGGTTTCACCATGTTAACCAGGATGGTCTCCATCTCCTGACCTCGTGATCCGCCCGCCTCAGCCTCTCAGACTGCTGAGATTACAGGCGTGAGCCACCACGCCCAGCCTCCAAGGTCTGACTTTTTATCCATTCTGGTCTCTGCTTTCTCATTGACGTGTTTAAACCTTTTACATCTTATGTGATTTTTAAATTGGATTTAAATCTGCTATCTTGCTATTTATTCTCTATTTGTCCCATGTGCTCTTTGTTCTATTTTTCTTTTTCCTGCCTCTTGCATTTTAAAATTTTGTATCATTTATTTATTTACTTTAGAGGTAAGGTCTCTGTCGTTCAGGCTGGTGCGCAGTGGCACAATCATATCTCACTTTCTGCCCCTTTGAGAGTCTGATTCCATTTTCTCTCCTTTATCGACTTATTAGCCATCACTCTTTGTTGTTGTATTGCAGTGGTTGTGCTAAGGCTCATAATAAATAGCTTTAACTCGTCCAGTCTCTTCATTCTTCTGTGGAGACTGTGACTTCTATCCAGTCTCACCTTCCTTTTGTCTGAAGGACTTCCTGAACATGCAAGTCTGCTAGTGATGGATTATTTTAGCTTTTGTAAGTTCAAAAAAGTCTTTATTTTGCCTTTGTTTTTGAAAAATATCTTTGCTGGGTACAGAATTACAGTTATCCCTCAGTAGCCCTGGGGGATGTGTTCCAGTACCCCCCATGGATACCAAAATCCATGAATGTTCAAGCCCCTTATGTAAAATGTCATCGTGTTTCCATATAACCTATGCACATTCTTCCATACACTTTAAATCACCTGTAGGGGCGAGCGTGATGACTCACACCTGTAATCTCCGTAATTTTGGTAGGCTGAGGTGGGAGGATCACTTGAGGCCAGGAGTTCAAGACCAGTCTGGGCAACATAGTAAGATCCCATGTCTACAAAAAATAAAAGAAAATAACAATTAGCAGGGTATGGTTGTGTGTGCCTGTGCTCCCAGCTACTCGGGAGAGCCATGCAGGAGGATTGGTTGAGCTCAGGAGGTCGAGGCTGCAGTGAGCTGTAACTGCACTACTGCGCTCCAGTCTGGGAGACAGAGTGAGACCCTGTTTCTAAAACATATACAAACCGAGATTACTTATAATGCCTAATGCAACATAGATGCTAAATAAATACTTGTTATACCATATTGTTTAAGGAACAATGACAGGGAGGAGCAGTCTGTGTATTTCAGTACAGAAGGAATTTTCTGTTCCGAGGATTTCGACCCTTGGTTGAATTCACAGAGGCACAGCTTGTGAATACAGATGCCTTACAGCATCAGTGAACTTTCCCTTTCCCTCAGCACTTCAAAGCTGTGATTCCACCGTGTTCGGACTCACATTATTCCTGAAAAAATGTCTGCAATCATTCTTTTTTTTTTTTTTTTGTAGAAGGAGTCTCACTCTGTTGTAAGGCTGGAGTGCAGTGGCGTGATCTTGGCTCATGGCAACATCCACCTCCCAGGTTCAAGCGATTCTCGTGCCTCAGCCTCCCGAGTTAGCTGGGATTACAGGCACGTGCCACCATGCCCAGCTAATTTTTTTTGTTATTTTTAGTAGAGACGTGGTTTCACCATGTTTGCCAGGATGGTCTCGATTTCCTGACCTCATGATCCGCTGGCCTCAGCTTCCCAAAGTGCTGGGATTACAGGTGTGCGTCACTGCGCCCGGCCTGCAATCATTCTTATCTTTGTTCCTCTGTACACAATGTCTCGTGTGTGTGTGTGTGTGTGTGTGTGTGTGTGTGTGTGTGTAGCTGCTTTTAAGGTTTTTCACCGATTTAAAGCAATTTGAGGCCAGGCACGGTGGCTTATGACTGTAATCCCAGCATTTGGGAGACTAAGGTGGGCAGATCACCTGAAGTCAGGAGTTCGAGACCAGTCTGACTAACATGGCAAAATCCCATCTCTACTAAAAATACAAAAAATTGTCCAGGCGTGGTGGCACATGCCTGTAATCCCAACTACTCGGGAGGCTGAGGCAGGAGAATCACTTGAACCCCGGAGGCAGAGGTTGTGCTGAGTTGAGATCATGCCATTGCACTCCAGCCTGGGAGACAGAGCAAGACTCCATCTCAAAAAATAAATAAATAAATAAATAAAGCAATTTGCTTTCCGTTTTGGTGTAGTTCCTTCGTGTTTCTTGTGTTCGAGATATGTTAAACTTCTTGGGTCTGTAGGTTTGTAGTTTTAAAAAACTTTTCAATCATTACTTTTTTCGTTGTTTTGTTTTTGTTTGTTGAGACAGTCTTGCTCTGTCTCCCAGGCTGGAGTGCAGCGGTGCAATCTCTACTCACTGAAACCTCCACCTCCCGAGTTCCAGCAATTCTTCTGCCTCAGCCTCCTGGGTAGCTGGGATTACAGGCACATGCCACCACAACTGGCTAATTTTTTATATTTTTAGTAGAGATGGGGTTTCACCATGTTGGCCAAGCTGATCTCGAACTCCTGACCTCAAGGGATCTGCCCGCCTCGGCCTCCCAAAGTGCTCGGATTACAGGCGTGAGCCACCTCACCTGGCAATCATTACTTCTTAAAATGTCTTTCTCCACATCCTTCCACCCCCAGGGGACTTCAAATCACACTGCTTGAAACGGCCCCATAGCTCACTGATGCTCTGCTCACTCTCTTAGCCTTCCCTCTCTCTGTTTTACTTTAGACGACTTCTGTTGCCATGTCCCTGAGAGTTTTAAGTCCATGCTTTCCCCCTTGATATTGTTTTCTGAAACCTGATGTTTTGCCCAAAACTGATATATTATTTTCACGTATACATGTGTGAGTTTAGCTTTGCATGGCTGAACTTTCATAGCCCATCGCTGAATCATTGTAATACATTGGCCTGTGTCTAAACTGTGATGAAATGAGTGAAAGATTAAGACCTGGCTTAGAAGATGATGTGCAAGTCACAGGCCTTTAAGTGTCCTAATGTCTAGACAGAGAACAGACAACTAACTACTGTGTGAGATGGGAATGTAGGTGAGAGGTTAAGTACAGGAATTATCTCAAGATTGCAAAAATAAATCTCTTAAAGACCACATATTGCATGGTTCCATCAACAGGGAAGTCCCAGCCTAGGCAAACTCCTGGACTCAGGAAGAAGATTAGTGGCTGCAGGTGGGGGAGGGGCAGTGTGCTGACTGCTACAGGGGACCCGCGGTGACAGGGGCAGTGGAGGCGGGCCCAGCGCTGGGAATGCACCACTACCGTCGCGCTGTGCTTTTTTTTTTTTTTTTTTTGAGATAGAGTCTCACTCTGTCACCCAGGTTGGAGTGCAGTGGCGTGATCTTAAGTCACTGCAACCTCCGCCTCCTGGGTTCAAGCGATACGACGCCCAGCTAAGTTTTGTATTTTTAGCAGAGACAGGGTTTCACCATGTTGGCCAGGCTGGTCTCGATCTCCTGACCTCCTGATCCACCCGCCTCGGCCTCCCAAAGTACTGGGATTACAGGTATGAGCCACGGCGCCCGGCCATGCGCTGCGCATTTTACGCGGATAAAGCAGATGGCCTGGGCACTGTGGGTCTAGGTAGCTGTTTTGACAATGTCTTCATTCCTGCGGCTGTAATGGGGCGCACGTGCACACACGGATGTGGCTTCTCCCCAGGGTGTCACCGCGCAGGTACCACGCAGACTCCAGCGCAGCTGCCCTCGCCGGGCCTCAGCGGGGCGTGGCCGGGCAGCAGAGGCGTGGCTGGGAACTGGGGGCGTGGCTGGGCCGTGGGGGCGGGCCCTTCGTGCAAGCAGCCGCCGACGTGGGGCGGGGGCGGGGCCGGGCGTGCGGGCGGTTGGGCAAGGGCGGGGCCGGCGGCGGCGGGTAACGGAGGGGGCGGGGCTAGCGCAGGGGTGGGGTTGCCGTTGCGGGGCGGGGCGGCGCAGGCGCAGTGCGAGGCACTCAGCGGTTTTCCCTCCCCCAACGGCGCGCCAGCTGTGGCCGGCGCAGCGTAGTGCTCGGGCCGGGGGTCGCTTCCCGCCTCCCGCCGCCCGCCGCCCGCCGCCCGCCGCCCGCGTCGCCCTCGCCGCCGTTGGGCCGCGCCGCGCCGCCATGTCGGGCCCCGGGCCGCGGGAGCCGCCGCCGGAGGCAGGCGCGGCAGGCGGCGAGGCGGGCGTCGAGGGCGCGGGCGGCGGGGACGCGGCGCTGGGCGAGCAGGGACTGAGCTTCACGACCACCGACCTGAGCCTGGTGGAGATGACGGAGGTGGAGTACACGCAGCTGCAGCACATCCTCTACTCGCACATGGAGGCGGCGGCTGACGGCGAGCTCGAGACGCGCCTCAACTCGGCGCTGCTGGCGGCGGCGGGCCCGGGCGCGGGCGCGGGCGGCTTCGCGGCGGGCGGTCTTGGGGGCGCAGCACCCGTGTACCCCGTGCTGTGCCCGTCCGCGCTGGCGGCCGACGCGCCCTGCCTGGGCCACATCGACTTCCAGGAGCTGCGCATGATGCTGCTGAGCGAGGCGGGCGCGGCGGAGAAGACGCCGGGCGGCGGGGATGGGGCGAGGGCCCGGGCCGACGGCGCCGCCAAGGAGGGCGCGGGCGCTGCTGGACCCGAGGGCGCGCCCGAGGCCCGGGCCAAGCCGGCCGTGCGCGTCCGCCTGGAGGACCGCTTCAACAGCCTCCCTGCCGAGCCGCCGCCCGCGCCGCGCGGCCCCGAGCCCCCCGAGCCGGGCGTGGCGCTCAACAAGTGCGTGCCCGGCGGCCGGGGGCTGGCAGGGCCCGGGTGGAGGCCAGGGCCGGGGCGGAGGCAAAGGGGGCCCTCGCTGTGCACGCCCCCAGCCTGCCCTCCCGGCGGCACAGGGCGCGGACCCCACCGGGTGTGGGGCCTCCCCGAAAGGCTGTGTGCGCTGTGCGGGCCCCGGGGAGCAGGTACTTCCTGGAACTAAACCCCCCCCCCAGTGGCCCCACCTGGAGAGTGGGGCCGAGCGCGCAGAATTCCTGGGAACCATGTGCTCCGGGTGGCACTCTTAGATGTCAGGGAAGCCTAGGAAGGCCCGACGCGGGTTTGCAGGCTTTGAGCTCTAAAATGAGGCTCCAGCCTGCAGCCGCCCCCTTGGTGACCCTCAGGAATGGTTGTGGAAGGGGCTGAATCCGCAGTTTTTTGCTCATCCCAACCTGTAGTTGTCCATCATGGTCAGACTGGAGGATGGCAGAAGTAAGATTGGTGTCAGGATGTGACGAGAGCAGGGAGGTGGCGCAGATTTGGGACTTCCACAACAGCACGAGTTGATAACTGTTGTGTAGAGATTTCCAGGATGAGAGTTGAGTTGCTGTCTGGAAAAAGTGGCCAGAGCCGTGAGAGTGGGATGGTGGATGCTTGTCTGCCACGTATTCCTGACACTTCTGAGCTTTCTTTTGTCTTGGCAGTTTGGTAACACTCATTCGACATCCATCTGAATTAATGAATGTTCCTCTTCATCAACAACAAAACAAATGTACAACATTAGTGAAAAATAAAACTGCTGCTACAACTACTGCTTTGCAGTTTACATACCCACTGTTTACTACAAATGCTTGCTCTACTAGTGGAAATTCTAATCTTTCACAGACACAGGTAGGGAACATGATTTGTGAAGCTTTGCTCTTTTGTATTAAATGGGTAAATTTTAACTTATTTTGGTTAGGTCCCAAGTACTTTTTTTTCCCTTGAGTGAGCTTAATAACCTTTTAAGCTGGGCGCCGAGGCTCACACCTATAATCCCAGCACTTTGGGAGGCCAAGGTGAGTGGGTCATTTGAGGTCAGGAGTTCAAGAACAGCCTGGCCAGCATGGTGAAACCCCATGTGAAAATTAACTGGGGGGTAGTGGCAGACACCTGTAATCCCAGCTACTCAGGAGGCTGAGGCAGGAGAATCGCTTGAGCCTGGGAGGTGGAGGTTGTGGTGAGCTGACATCCCGACACTGCACTCCAGTCTGGGCGACAGAGTCGAGTCCCTGTCTCAAAAAAAAAAAACAAAAAAACAGCTGTGCAAGTTGAGTATGTGGTATGGGAATGTTTTAAAATCTTCAGTGCAACTAAAGTTCTCCAAATTATGTATTAGTAGCTTTGATGTTTGTTAAGTGCATTTTATTTGTGCAGTAAAGAGGACATTAAGTCACATATTGATAAAATTCCTGTTGCTTCATTTTTTTCCAGAGTTCTAGTAACTCATGTTCTGTCCTTGAAGCTGCCAAGCACCAGGATATTGGATTGCCTAGAGCATTTTCTTTCTGTTATCAGCAAGAAATTGAATCCACTAAACAGACATTAGGTAGTAGAAACAAAGCTTTGCCTGAGCAAGTTTGGATTAAAGTGGGAGGTAAGCGATGAAGCAGCAGGTAGTGGGACCTTTCTTGTGACCGAGCCCTGTGGCTGATGGTATTTTGGCCTTGCGGGGGGTAGGGGAGACAGATGGTTTGTACACATGGGAAACAGTCTTGGAGGTGTCCGTGTATCTCCGGATCCGTCCACCCGCTTCCCCGTCTTCTCACTTTAAACATTATTCTGATTCACAAATATAATTAACCTTGATGTGGGAACATTGAGTTTGAGGGCTTTTTCATAACATTAAAGTGATAGACTTACATAAATTTTCCGTTATCTTCAGGTTACTGAAAGTACTTTATAGTTTTTTATTTTCCTTATTTTGTACTCCATGAGTGAGGCAGGCATCTAACATCTGCTGAAAGCCTTTGGTTAGGTGGATGCTAATAGGAGGACCCTGGGCTGCCAGCGAGAGGCCGTAAGGTGATTCAGAAAGTTTGGAAATAAAGTCACTGCTGAAGGCACTGCTGTGCTAACCTGCCTAGCCCCTTCCTCCCTGGGAAACACCTGCATAGTCCCTTCCTGGGAAACTGATTTGTCAAGTGACCCGATGAAAAGAACACTCCTTACACTCAGCTTTCCAAGAGTTGGTGAAGACAGGACGGGGATGGAGAGCTACTGCCTTCTCCCGTGTCAGTCACTCCTTTTCCTCCCTGCAAAATTTTATGCCAAAGTGTATGTTCACATTTGTAAGATACAAAGATGAGTATTAAAGTAGCCTCTGTGCTGACTACTCAGGTTAAGGAATAAAATGTCACCAAAACAACTGAATTCCTCTCTCCTGCTGAAAGCTTCATCATCCTTCTGTAATATGTGCTCTGTGTGGCATACACGTGCACATGAGCACGCCTGCCAGTCACGTGCCTGTGGTTCTTTGATGGATACAGTTCCACATATGCACACGTGGCACAGCCTGTTATGCAGCAGAAGAGCTCGGACGCTACTTCTTACATAATGCTTTGGGGAGGAGAGCCACTTCTGAGGCAAGGGCATACACTTAATGCTGCTTCAGTTTTGTTCTGAGCATTGCAGTAAAAATACTGTCATATTAAAATAATTGGGTTTTTTTCTTGTTCTTAGAATAATTGTATATAAAGAAAATATTTTTGGGAGGAAATATGTCCAAGTAGTTTTTAAATATTTTTCCCATTCTGACCTTGAGAAAAAGTAAACAACTTCTTGTTTTCTGTATTCATAGGTAACACCTGTTGATTAAAGAGAGGGACTTTGGGCCGGGCATGGTGGCTCAAGCCTGTAATCCCAGTACTTTGGGAGGCCAAGGCGGGTGGATTACAAGATCAGGAGCTCGAGACTATCCTGCCTAACACGGTGAAACCCCGTCCCTGCTAAAAATACAAAAAAATTAGCTGGGTGTGGTGGCGCATGCCTGTAGTCCCAGTTACTCGGGAAGCTGAGGCAGGAGAATGGTGTGAACCCGGAAGGCGGAGCTTGCAGTGAGCTGAGACCACGCCACTGCACTCCAGCCTGGGCAACAGAGCGAGACTCCATCTCAAAATAAAAAAAAAAAGAGGGACTTTGGATGAGGTCATATTGGTTGTATAGCACTTGGAAGATGTATTTAATTTGATGATTGATTCTCGTTCAGTTTCATTGTTTTTGTTTTTGTTTTTTGAGACGGAGTCTCGCTCTGTCGCCCAGGCTGGAGTGCAGTGGCACGATCTCGGCTCACTGCAAGCTCCGCCTCCCGGGTTCATGCCATTCTCCTGCCTCAGCCTCCCAAGTATCTGGGACTACAGGCGCCCGCCACCATGCCCGGCTAATTTTTTTTTTTTTAAATTTTAGTAGAGATGGAGTTTCACCATGTTAGCCAGGATGGTCTCGATCTAACCTCGTGATCCACCCGTCTCAGCCTCCCAAAGTGCTGGGATTACAGATGTGAGCCACCGCGCCTGGCCGTTCAGTTTCGTTATATAAAATAGGCTTGGACTTCTGTTCCCTGCTGACACTGAGTAACTGCATTAGTACATCTCTTTGTGGTTCGGTTCTCTGTGCTGCTTACCAAATAATGTTTATATCTTGGATTGAAAAGGCCAAAACTCTGTTCAGCATTAATTGAGATAAGAATAAAAAATTAAAAACCACTTTTTTCTTCTTTTGCAAAGAAGAAGCGCTATGCAAACAAGCACTGAAGAGGAATCGGAGTAGAATGCGTCAGTTGGACACAAATGTAGAGCGAAGAGCCCTCGGAGAGATTCAGAATGTGGGCGAAGGTGCCACTGCCACACAGGGCGCTTGGCAGTCTTCGGAGTCCTCACAGTCAAACCTGGGGGAGCAGGCCCAGAGTGGGCCCCAGGGAGGAAGGTCTCAGCGTAGAGAGAGGCATAACCGAATGGAAAGAGATAGAAGGTAATACGTGCGACTCCTTGTCAGGCTGGCTCATAAATGATTACCTTAGTCGTACATGGTTATCACAGATAAAATGATCCTTAGCCATTTCTGCGTTCAGAGGGAAGAAAGGAGGTAGGAGCATCGTTAACTTTCCCAGATGGATCAGGGATCCCCCAGACTGCGCCCAGGCTCGCTGGCTCATTAGGAGGACTCCTGGGACTCAGCATGTAGTTACTCTCAGGCTGTGACTTACTATGGAGAAAGGATGCCAGGTGAGATCAGCAAAGGTCATGGGAGGAAGGCAGGAGATGAGGTGCAAGCTTCTAAGAGCGTGCCCTGTGGAGTCAGGCAGGATGCCGCTCATGCCCCAGTCATGTGGTCTGAAAACGTGGGTGAGGTGTTGCCAACCAGGAAAGCTTGCTAGAGACCAGGGGCGCGTTACGTAGGCACGCCCTCCCTGCATGCAGCCGCAGTCCAGTCTCTCAGAAGGAAAACAGGTGATCAGCGTCAACCATATTGTTTGCACAGTGTAGGTCCTGGGAGCCACTCTTAACTCTACAAATCTAGGTTCGCAGACTCCACTAAGGGCCAGCGCTGACTGCAGGCCTTTCTGAGGAGAGTGATCAGGCTGTTATGGTAACTGCTGCTTAACCAGCCAACTGAATTCTGCAAGTTTTCCTGGTTCTTTTAAGATTGCTGGGAAGAAGGAGGTTAAAATTGTTATTTAAGTGGTTTTGTCTGTAGATTTTATTTGTAGTATCCTTCTTTGTAGAATTAAGAGGTAGTTAGTTTTTTTCTATTATAATTGGGTTTTCTTTTTTTTTTTTTTTTTTTTTGGTGAGATGGAGATTTACTCTTGTTGCCCAGGCTGGAGCGCAATGGCACGATCTCAGCTCACTGCAACCTCCACCTCCCAGGTTCAAGTGATTCTCCTGCCTCAGCCTCCCTAGTAGCTGGGATTACAGGCATGCGTCACCACGCCCGGCTAATTTTGTATTTTTAGTAGAGACGGAGTTTCCCCATGTTGGTCAGGTTGGTCTTGAACTCCTGACTTCAGATGGTCTGCCCGCCTCGGCCTCCCAAAGTGCTGGGATTACAGGCGTGAGCCTCCACGCCCAGCATGGCAATTTCTTTTAAAGGGATCTATTCAAATTAGCTAGGGCAGGGTGCAGTGGCTTATGGCTGTAATCTCAGTACTTTGGGAGGCCGTGGTGGGAGGATTGCTTGAGCCCAGGGTTTGAAACCAGCCTGGGCAACATAGCAAGTCCCTGTCTCTAAAGAAAAACCAATACTAGTGGTGGTGCACACCTGTTGTCCCAGCTACTTGGGAGGCTGAGGTGTGGGAGGATCGCTTGAGCCCAGGAGTCAACGCTATAGTCAGCTGTGATCCTGCCACTGCACTCCAGCCTGGGCCACAAAGTGAGACCCATGTCCCAAAGAAAGAAAATAAAAAAGCTAGCTATATATCTTTTTATGATACTTACATACACAGACTAACTGAGGGCCTTCCTCAGCCTACTGTGAATTATGAAGGGCATTTTGCTTGCTCTGACATTTATTTAATAGACATTCATTGAGTAGCTGCTATGTAGAAAGCCTTACACCGTATGTCGACAGTTTGAAAGTTTGACTTCTAGCTCTACTGGATAGACTTGTGGTTAGAGTTGAATGAGCTGATGCGCAAAGAGTGTTTGGCTCAATGCCTAGAAGTCCAAAAGCACCTAGTAAATGCCAGCTGCTGTTTTACCAGCAGAGTCTCTAATTAAAATTCTAAATACACGGTGTGAAGACGAGTAACAAAGGCCATATTGAATAAGTTGCTGAGTATCTGCTTGTTTAGGACTTTGCATGGTACTGAATGTAATATGTAAAAGTTTAAAAAATAGTCTAATAACAAGACTTCAATCTCTACAAAGACTGAGTTTCAGAATATTAACAGAGTGTTGGGCCGTGATCCTTTCAGAATCAGGGCCCCTTGGAGAATCTGAAAGCTGTGCGTGAGTTCCCGGTAGGGTTTTTAGCCCGTAAAGGGCAAGTAATATCAGTCTTGAATGAAAGAGTAATCTGCCCACTTTGGACCCCTCAGTGGTCCAGACGGAGGAAGGTGTCAGACCAAAAATGTTGCTTCCAATTTCAGGGGCTTTGGAACCATCCCTAATCCAGAGACTTGAACCTGGCCCATGAGAAGTCAATAAGGAAAGCTCCAGGGAGCGTGTGGGTCATGGGGCTGCCGAGGGCACCCAAGGATGCTCTGGCCTCCCAAAGGCAGTAGCTGCCTCTGTAGACAAGGCCGTGGCAAAGCTGTGGGACTTCCTGTGGTGATGGGCATTTCCGTGGCACTCAGTGGCCAGGCTTCATGGGCTCTGATTCCTTCAAGTACTACAGTGAGATGCTTCCTTTTACGTGTTTGTTTTGCTCCGGCCTCTCTCGGTGATGACTTTGGGTTTTGACTGTAGGCGCAGAATCCGCATTTGCTGTGATGAGTTGAATCTCTTAGTACCGTTCTGCAATGCCGAGACTGACAAGGCCACAACTCTGCAGTGGACCACAGCATTCCTGAAATATATCCAGGAAAGACACGGAGATTCTCTTAAAAAGGTTAGTGGTAGGCCAGGTAGATTTCCAGAATTTTATAAATTTTACTTATCCACGTCCCTCTTTTTTCCTAAGGATAACTCAGACTATCCTTTGCTTCCTGGAATCTAACGTCAAATACTAAGTCCATTATGAACAAAGCTCTGCTCATTAATGATATAACTTGTCATTTACTGAAGTGTTAGTCACGGCCTACATGTGTTACACTGCAGTGTATAAATGACTGTGAAGAGTCAATTGTCAGATAGCAGATTGGGCCCGTGCTCTGTACGGTATATTGTACTGGGGCTAACGGGTGTGTAGGACATGATTTTTGCCCTCGGAAAAACTTGTGAAAGGGATAAAAGCAAGAATAGAAAAACAAAAACCGGCCAGGCACAGTGGTTCACGTCTGTAATCCCAGCACTTTGGGAGGCCCTCTTGAACCCAGGAGTTTGAGACCAGCCTGGGCAACATGGCAAGACCCCATCTCTACTAAAAATACAAAAATTAGCCTGGTGTGGTGGCATACGTCTGTAGTCCCTGCTACTCGGTGGGGGGCTGAGGAGGGAGGATCGATTGAGCCAGGGAGGTGGAGGCTGCAGTGAGCTGAGATCATACCACTGCACTCCAGCCTGGGCAACAGGGCAAGACCCTGCCCCACCCCCACCCACCCTAAAAAAGAAAGAGAAACAAAAATGCAGGTACGTGACAAATAGTCTGATATGAACTTCAAATATGCCCAACAGGTTAATAAGAAATATACTTCTGTGGACCGGGTGACTAAACCTCTGTGGACTGGGTGACTATACTTCTGTGGACCAAGGTGGCCTAAACCTCATGGACTGGGTGACTATACTTCTGCCCGACTGGGTGACTATGCTTCTGTGGGCTGGGTGAATATACTTCTGTGGACCGAGGTGACTCACCTCTGTGGACTGGGTGAGTGTAGTTCTCTGGACCGGGTGACTATCCTTCTGTGGACCGGGTGACTATACTTCTGTGGACAGGGTGACTATACTTCTGTGGACAGGTAGCTATACTTCTGTGGACTGGGTGACTGTGCTTCTGTGGACTGGGTGACTATACTTCTGTGGACTGGGTGACTATACTTCTGTGGACTGGGTGAGGTGTAGTTCTGGACAGGTGACTATACTTCTGTGGACAGGGTGACTATACTTCTGTGGACCGGGTGACTATACTTCTGTGGACAGGGTGACTATACTTCTGTGGACTGGTGGCTATTGCTTCTGTGGACTGGGTGACTATACTTCTGTGGACTGGGTGACTATACTTCTGTGGACTGGGTGAGTGTAGTTCTCTGGACTGGGTGACTATACTTCTGTGGATTAGAGGTGACTATACTTCTGTGGACAGATGACTGCCTGTGGACAGGGTGATTATGCTTCTGTGGACAGGGTGATTATGCTTCTGTGGACACAGGTGAAGCTGTACTTCTGTGGACTGGAGTGACTGTACTTCTGTGGACAGAGGTGACTATATACTTCTGTGGACCGGAGTGACTATACTTCTGTGGACCGGGTGGCTATACTTCTGTGGACAAATTGACTATACTTCTGTGGACCACAGGTGACTGTACTTCTGTGGACTGGGTGACTATACTTCTGTGGACTGGGTGACTATACTTCTGTGGACTGGGTGACTATGCTTCATGGACCAGGGTGACTATACTTCTGTGGACCGGGTGTGACCTTTATACTTCTGTAGACAGGGTGATTCTTCTGTGGACAGGGTGATTATGCTTCTGTGGACTGGGTGACTGTACTTCTGTGGACAGGGTGACTATACTTCTGTGGACTGGGTGACTATACTTCTGTGGACAGGGTGACTATACTTCTGTGGACAGGGTGACTATACTTCTGTGAATGGGTGACTATACTTCTGTGGACTGGGTGACTGTACTTCTGTGGACAGGGTGATTATACTTCTGTGGACTGGGTGACTGTACTTCTGTGGACCGGGTGACTATACTTCTGTGGACAGGGTGATTATACTTCTGTGGACTGGGTGACTGTACTTCTGTCAGGTCCGGGTGACTGTACTTCTGTGGACTGGGTGATTATGCTTCTGTGGACTGGGTGACTGTACTTCTGTGGACTGGGTGACTAGGGAGGAACCGTATTAGCGCCTGCATGTCCAGTCTCTCAGACAGCCACCCTGCGTGATCCTGTCTGCATGGTCTGTGTGGTGGCCTGCAGGAAGCCATTGTTGTTGGCTGGAACTGGGCCGTGTGGTTTGAATGTGGGAGTTCGGTCAGCCCCTCAGTGGCCCAAGGAGAGAGCGGTGTCAGTCACAGGGCTGGTTCTGGGCCCTGCCTGGGCGAGACCAGTTCAGATCCCGGCCTCAGTTGCAGTGGCCAGAGGTGAGTGGCTCTTTGGCCCTCCAGGAGTGAGCCAGATCTTGATGAAATAGATCCACAGGGTCCTGACTTTGTACCTGGTCAGGCTGTGGAAATTGCTGCTGTTGACCCAGGCAGAGGTCAAGCTAGAGAACGAGCTAAGGTTGCTACAGCAAACAAAGACCCCTTTCAGAAGGGCTCGAGGAGCCTGGCATCACAGTGACTCGTGCGGTCAGCACTCTGGGAGGCTGGCGGGTGGATCATTTGAGGCCAGAGTTCGAGACCAGCTTGAACGTGATGGGGGGGGACCCCCATCTCTCTACTAGTGGACCGGGTGACTAAACCTCTGTGGACTGGGTGACTATACTTCTGCCGACTGGGTGACTATGCTTCTGTGGGCTGGGTGAATATACTTCTGTGGACCGGGTGACTGCCTCTGTGGACTGGGTGAGTGTAGTTCTCTGGACCAGGTGACTATACTTCTGTGGACAGGGTGACTATACTTCTGTGGACAGGGTGACTATACTTCTGTGGACTGGGTGACTGTACTTCTGTGGACTGGGTGACTGTACTTCTGTGGACAGGGTGACTATACTTCTGTGGACTGGTGACTGTGCGCTTCTGTGGACTGGGTGACTATACTTCTGTGGACAGGGTGACTATGCTTCTGTGGACTGGGTGACTATACTTCTGTGGACTGGGTGAGTGTAGTTCTCTGGACCGGGTGACTATACTTCTGTGGACAGGGTGATTATGCTTCTGGACCGGGTAGTTATACTTCTGTGGACTGGGTAGTTATGCTTCTGTGGACCCGGGTGGCTGTCGCCCCTGTGGACAGGGTGACTATCACTTCTGTGTGGACAGGGTGACTGTGCTTCTGTGGACTGGTGATTATGCTTCTGTGGACTGGGTGACTGTACTTCTGTGGACAGATGGGCTGTACTTCATGGACTGGGTGATTGCTTCTGTGGACCACGGGTGACTATACTTCACCAGCAGACCGGGTGGCTATGTGTGTGGACCGGGTGACTGTGCTTCTGTGGACTGGGTGATTGTCAGCTTCTGTGGACAGATGACTGTACTTCTGTGGACTGGGTGACTGTACTTCTGTGGACTACAGGTGATTATGCTTCTGTGGACTGGGTGACTGTACTTCTGTGGACCAGGGTGACTATGCTTCTGTGGACAGGGTGATTATACTTCTGTGGACTGGGTGACTGTACTTCTGTGGACTGGGTGACTGTACTTCTGTGGACTGGGTGATTATACTTCTGTGGACTGGGTGACTGTGCTTCTGTGGACTGGGTGACTAGGGAGGAACCGGCATGTTAGCGCCTGCATGTCAGTCTCTCAGGACAAACCACCCTGCCGTGATCCTGTCTGCATGAGTCATGGCAGTGGCCTGCAGGAAGCCATTGTTGTTGGCTGGAACTGGACGTGTGGTTTTGAATGTGGGGTTCGGTCTGGCCCCTCAGTCAACCCAAAGGAAGACGGTGTCAGTCACAGGGCTAGTTCTGGGCCTGCCTGGGGGACCAGTTCCAGGTCGGCCTCAGCGTTGCAGTGGCCAGGGTGAGTGGCTCTTTGGCCCTCCAGGAGTAGGCAGATCTTAGTGAAATAGATCCTGGTCTGACACTGCATGCCTAGTCCAGGCTGTGGGGGGAATTGCTGCTGTTGACCCAGGCAGAGTCTGACTAGAGGAAACGAGCTAAGGTTGCTGCAACAAACAAAGACCCCTTTCAAGAAGGGCTCCCAGGCCTGGCACAGTGACTCGTGCTGTGATCCCAGCACTCTGGGAGGCTGAGGCGGGTGGATCATTTGAGGCCAGGAGTTTGAGACCAGCTTGGCCAGACGCGTGATGAGACCCCATCTCTACTAAAAATACAAAAATTAGCTGGACGTAGTGGCACGTGCCTGTAGTCCCAGCTACTCAGGAGGCTGAGGCAGGAGAATTGAACCCGGGAGATGGAGGTTGCAGTGAGCTGAGATAGCGCCACTGCACTCCAGCCTGGGTGACAGAACCAAGACTCCATCTCAAAAGAAGGGCTTCTGTGTCTTGTCGTGGTGGGGCTGGAGAGAGTCCCCGCGCTGGGCGATGGTGAGTGAGGGCTCTTCCTTCAGCACCAGACGAAGTTTGTCTTCTCTCTGCCCCTTTTCTTTTTTTTTTTTTTTGGGGAGACGGAGTCTCGCTCACAGCAAATCAGGCTGGAGTACGGTGGCCGGATCTCAGCTCACCTGCAAGCTCCGCCTCCCGGAGTTCTACTTGCATTCTCACTGCCTCAGCCTCCGCGTAGCTGGGACTACAGGCGCCCGCCACCACGCCCGGCTAGTTTTTTGTATTTTTAGTAGAGACAGGAGTTTCACCCGAGATTAGCCAGGATGGTTTCGATCTCTGACCTCGTGATCCGCGACTCGGCCTCCCAAAGTGCTGGGATTGCAGGCAGAGCCTGCCGCCTGCCGTCTGCCCCTTTCTATGTTCCACGTGACATTTACATCTTTGATTGCATAATTTAGGTTCTTTATTTCATTATGCATTTAATTGCATTCTATAGCGATACTATATTAAATGTGTTTCTAATTGGATCATTTATAGTTATTTACAATGAGATTATTGTTAGAAATTAGACTGTTGGTTGTTTGATAAAATAAAGCTTTTGTGTTTTAAAAT